GGGGAAAGAAAAAAATAAAAAATAAAAATCGAAAACAAACCTTTTATAATCCTTTCAAAACAACATCATTTTGGATGCTGAATCGAGTCCAACCCGTACAGGATCCCCACGCTGACCCGCGCGCCAACCTGACCCATTTCGCAGGTTTTTCCTTTTCTTTTTCTTTTTATTTTCTATTTTGATTTTGATTTTATTTATTTTGTATTGATTTTTATGTTGATTTTTTTATTTTTTTCATGATATTATTGTTATTATTATTATTATTGTTATTTTATATTAATAATTCTTAAAATAAAAATAAAACTAAAATAACATAAAGACTTAAAAATATAATATGCAAAAAAATTAATTAATAATAATAACTATTTAAAAATAAAATTTTATTAGAAGCAAAAATATTATTTAAATTTCACCAAAGTGTTGGGATAATTTAAAAAATAATTTTTGCTAAAAAATAATAAATAATAAGAAAAATGATAAATGATAAATAAAAAAATAAAAATAAATTGTTTAAATGAATCTTTTAAATGTAATTTTTAAAAAAAGTTAAAAGAGTTTAGTTTCTTTAATTATTACAAGTAAAAATAATTTTTTCGGATTTCACCATTGAGTTGGGATAATCCAAAATGATTTTTACTAGAATAAAGATTGATTTAGACAATGTAAAACAATAACAAAAAATAATAAAAAAATAATAATAATTGATATTTTGAATATTTAAAAAATAAAAAATTGAAAGAGTTCGATTTTCTTTAATACAAGTAAGATATTAATATTTAGATTTCACCGGTGAATCGAAATAATCTAAATTTTTTTATAATAAAAATAATTAATAAATAATAGAAAGTTTTTAAAATAATTATAATAAAGATTAATTAATTAATTAATTCCCATTAACTATAAAAAAATAATTTTTATTTAGGACCTTGTCCAAAATTGAGATAATCTTAAAACTTGTTTAATAAATTTTGAGAACTCACCAAAGAGTCGGGATGTTCCTAAAATTCTTTTTAAAACAAATAAATAAAATATCTTATGATAAGATTTCAAAAATTTTGTGAATGGTCAATTTTCTTAAAATATTTTTTATAAATTTTATCAAAGTCTTAGAGAATTTATAGAATACGAAATAATAATAATATTATTAATTTCACAAAAAATATTTTTTAGATAAATTTAAGAAATTAAATTTAAATAAAAAAAAAAGATTGCATTATCAAAATTAAAGAATGACACATATTTAATTGATACCGTTTTTCGAACGGACGACGTGAGGGTGCTGATACCTTCCTCACTCGTAATCATACTCTCGGACCTAACTCTAATTTCGTAGACATAAACTTCTTTTAGTAAATCTTAATTAATTTTAAGATTTTTATTAAAAGATTATATTTTTGAGTGACTAATCACATCTTATAAAAAAAATTGATGACGACTCTGAAAATTTTTTACAAAATATAACGGTCGAGTCTCTCAGATGAAAAATCGTTATAACAATTAGGATTTAGGGTTTTGAAAAACCCAAAGTCTTAGCTATAGCTTATTTATTATTGCTTACATATACCGATTAAGTTGACGAAATTTTATAATTCTATTGGAAGAAGTGTCTGCAAATGTTTAGGTAGCCATGTTAAGCCTTGAACGATTGGATTAGTGATATAATGCTCTCCATTTTGAACAACAGGCAAGATGTAATTATCAAGAAAGAGAGAAAAAAAAATGGAGGGAAAATTAGATGTTGTAACTCTAAATCGTTCTCATTTTAAATTTTTTGAACATTCTTTGTAACTCAACTTCTTTCTCCATAGATCTTGAACACTTTATTGATTTGAATGTCAAAACATGTTTTTAAAAGTCAATTCCGATCTTTTTTTTTAATTATGTTTTCTTGTTATAGATACAAATTATCTTTCTAGTGACTTTCAGGTAACCATTTAACTTATTCGTTCTCAAAATATCATTAATGATGTTGTTATTGTTAGAATATAATTAAATCTAATAATTTAAAATATGACATGATAATATGATATAAAAATAATTTGAATAAAATATATAAAAATAATATGATTTAAAATTTTAAAAAAATCATAAGTAAATTTAATAAAATTAAAAAATTATATTTTATATTTTTATATCAACATAAATTATAATAAATAATTTTTATATAAAATATAATATTTTATATAATACAGTAATACGAATTGTTAGGCCTAAATGTAAAAGCCTTCGGGCGAAAGGTAATTTTGGAGATAAAAGAGAAGTTGCCAACCTAGATATGGGAGAAAGGACACGACACCATCGACTTGTCTCTCTTCATAAATTTGAAACTCCAAAATGCCCGACTGGATGTTGGAGTTTGTGAATCCAACACTGAGAAATCCAAGGGCTTTAAGACATAATGAGGCCCACATTCAAGTATCAAACTGTGGTTTATCAAATGGCTATTGGGCTTGTATTTTTGTTCCTCTTGTGTTCTAAACCCAGTCACCAGCATTTGGGCTGAAAATGTCAACGCAGACTCAGAATTTTGTATCAAATGTTTGAGCCCAAGGGTGTTGGAATCTTCACTTTCCTATCATAAAATTTTAATTTTTTTGCTAATTTTAAATTATTTTAAATTTGTACTAACAAGTTGTAAGCGGTAGCCTGTTGATATTTCCATCAGAAAATATATTACAAGTTCTCCATTATAATTTTTGCATTCCCTGCATGTGGAATAAGCAAAGAGTTTGGAGTCTGGAGATAATTGTTTATACCCAATTTTTTTAATACGGTTAATTTCATGAATGATATTTAAATTTAATTTTAAAATTTTTTAATATAATACTTGAATTGTAACTCTTTTAACTAAAGTAGTACTCACTCATAATGTGATTAACTTTAAATAATAACATATAATATACAAATAATATTTAAAGTATCACATTAATAAAAATATTCATAATTCAAGTATTTCATTAAAGATTTTTAAAATTTAGATATCTTATTAAATATTTTACTATAATTTAGAGATTATTTATGATATTAACTAAAGATTAAATCCTTCGAATTAATATCTCTATAATAAAGTTTGCACTCTATGTGATTTCTGATTCTTTTAATCCCAACGTGACTCATCAATCATATAATTATTGTCTTTGTGATAAAGTTTGCGCTTTATATGATCTTCTCCAAGTTGATATTAACAAATACAACTAGGAGTAAATATATTACCTGTAAGCATATGACCTGGATCACGTTTCTACTTTGGATAATCATAATGTGTTCATTAAAAAACTTAAATGCTATATATAAATGGTAAATCCATAGCTATCAAAAAAAGATTAAAATTATTGTTTTTAACAGCGTTGAAAACTAAAAACATCAAGTCCCTGTTTAAATGGATAGTTGAAAACTGGCAGAGACGAGTTTAGGAGTACATTGTATTAATGCATGGTTCGAGCTCGATTTCTATTTTGAAAATCTCTTATTTAAATGGATAGTCATTTATGGTGGGCAGGAAGGGTGAGTTGAGCAGACTCTGCGTTACAGGTTTCCCATCATAAAAAAAATAACAAATAAGATGGTAGACTAGACTTTATTACCCAACTTATCAACCATCTTCCCAAATCCCATTCGCCACAACTCTCCTTGTATAGTTGTATATAATTTCCATACTTCAAAAATCAATCTTTCAATCATCACTCCATGTGAAATATTGTAAGGGTCACTCTCAAATAGAGCTGTTACTCTTCCTCTTTCGGTACAATATATATATGGCCATTATTCAGTACGATATTTAGGTATTTAAATTTTGGGAATAATTTGTATAAGCTGTCCTTCCTTCGTTGAAAGTCTTACAACAAAAGACATTTATTTGGAACGGCAGCAAAATAGCAGTAGGCCCCAGAATCCACTTTCACGATCTTTTAAGGACAGTAATTGATCCCCCTCTAATTTGCGGTCACTTTTAAACCACGTACGTCCCAAAATCCCATTTGCTGGCAGTCATAAAAGGATCCAAACGGTATCATGTTACTACTTTTCCATTACTACTTTTTTGGCCCTAGCAATGCGAAGGGCTAAAGAGTTTCAAGTTTTATTAGCTGCAAAACACATGTAAAGTTTTGGTGCTTAATCAGGGATAAAATTTTTAGAATTAGGTGTTGAGATCAGAAGCACGTGTCAGTTGCTTTGTTCAATTTATTCAAGCTTTAGTTATGGACGATGAATAATGAATTGTCTTGGTACGCAACAAACTGGCATTTTCCATTACTTACTTGGATTGGCAACGCAGGAGCTAACAACAAACTTGATCTCCAGCCAAGCACATGCCAACGCAAAAGTAAATACTCCAAGGTGGAATTAGCCTCTCCCAGTACTTTTCCAATTTGAAAACGAATTGTCCTGAAAAGTAGCACAAAAAATGGCAAGAACAGGACAAGAAAAGTGGGTCCTATTGTAAAAATAATTGGCCAATGTTCTGTGCATGCTGGCCCTGAGGCTTCACGTGCCCTGTTACCCCTTGTAGCCATATCATTATTGAGAGGGAAAGAATCACTATGTCAATGTTGGTTCAATATTTCAATAGCAAGTAGCAGTACTGACCAGTGATTAAACTCATTCGTAGAAAAAGAAAACATGTTTCTTGTCATTAGAAGAAAATGTAGGCTTTGTTTTACACTCTCAGAAAGAATCAGTCGTATCGAAATGTCTTTTGACGATATATAATTTTTCAAGTTTAGTCTTCCTAACTTGAGTTTGGAGGGAATGTTGCCGACTGTGATGGTGTATTTGGGAACATTATTTTGGTACAATCATCTTTTGTCGTAAATTTGTTTCCGTCTGATCAAAGTTGTTGGCTTGTACGCTACTTGTTGCAAGATTTAATATTGATTTGTATGGGACAGAACTCAGAAAAACAAGAAGAAGAGCTGGCATTGATTTATTTGGGGTCCTTTTTTATGGCAAAAAATAAAGAGTGATAAATTAATAATAAAAATAATTAAAGTAAAAGGAAAAGGAAAAAGAAAAAGAAATAGGAAATGCAATCATAGAAACAGAGAAGAGCTAAGACAAATTCATGACATTTACAGCCCTGGTTGTCATAAATAAAAATATTGTCACTCAAATACCATTTTCCAGGGCATGCAATTGCAAACAACATGACCTGCCACCGCCATGCATGATGATCATGATAAAGGATCAGGATGAAAAGTAAACAAGATCAACGGGCACAAATTAAACACAGAATACGGAACTCAACAAATTAAATTAAACCGGAGAAAATCGGCTTTTTGTGTGACAATTAATTAGAACCCCCGCTTAATATTCGGTAGTGGGGAGATGCTCATGAGTGTGGCTAATGAAGAAGAACTCGTAGATGAGCCCAGCGAGCCCACCACCAATAAGAGGTCCAGCCCAGTAGACCCAGTGGTTGTCCCAGGACCAGCTAACCAAGGCAGGTCCGAATGAAACAGCTGGGTTCATTGAGGCTCCATCGAAGGCCCCACCTGCCAAAATGTTGGCCCCCACAATTAAACCAATTGCCAATGGTGCGATCACTCCCAAACTTCCTTTTTTAGGATCAACGGCTGTGGCGTAGACTGTGTAAACCAATCCGAAAGTCATCACGATCTCGAAAACAAACGCGTTCCACACTCCCACTCCTGATGACAATCCAAAAGCTGGTACAGACTGCGAAGCACCATAACAAAACCCAAATAAATAAATAAATAATAAATAAAACTGACAATATCCAGATAAAGGGAGTTGGTAGGGCGGTAAAAAAAAAAAATACCAGGCCGCTGGTAGCGAACTTAAGTAACAGGCAAGCGACGGTTGAGCCAAGGAGTTGGGCGATCCAGTAAATGATGCCACGTAAGAGAGTGATGTTCCCGCCAACGAAAGCACCGAAGGTGACAGCAGGGTTGACGTGGCCACCAGAGATATTGGCGCCAACGGAGACAGCAACGAAAAGGGCGAAGCCGTGAGCTAGGGAGGCGGCTACGAGACCAGCTGGCGTGGTTGATCCGTTATCGGTCAGTTTGTTAAAGGCCATGCCTGAGCCTGATCCTGCGAAAACGAAGATTAGGGTTGATATGAACTCGGCCAAAGCTGCCTTAAGAGCATCTGGGTGAGTAGCCTCTTCGGGGCGGCCAACGGCTATGTTTCGGATCGGCATGTTTACCGTAAGATCAAAATCAAGCGGTCGGAATGGAGAGTGAAGATATCAGGGTGTTGTTTGAGTGAGTATTGGCCTGCACTGGTCTCCACTTCTCAGCTTTGGTTCTTACTTATATTTGAAAGGGTCGTCCAAGCTGGCCGGGATTAATCGGTTACCGGTTGAAAAATATGGAGAGAGGGTGTATTATTTGGAATGTGATTGGTGGACAGACTGAAAAATTATTATTTATGGATACTTTTTTAAAAAGCTTTAGCCGAGCTACCGATCATCACTGTTAAGACAGCGAAGCGGAACAGTGTCACTGCTTTAGATGGATTAAATTGCCACGTGTCCATGTCGAATAAGAGCCACGTGATGTGCGGCGTTTAGACCATTTTTGTTTCCTTCTTTCTGCTCCCTCTCTATATTGAAAGCTCGATTTTTTTTTTTTATTTCTTTTGTAAATAAAAATATAAATAGAAAGAATAAGAGTAGAGTAGACTCGTCGAGACAGAGAGACGACCATGACGCAGTACAATTTTGACACGTGGAAAAAGACAAGTGGTTGTCTGATCTGACGGATGAGGAATGTTGGGTTTGCAAAAACATTTTCTCCTAAAACATTTTTTATCCAATATATATGGACATAATGGGAAGAACGTGAAGCATGGAATTGAAATTAATTTTTTTGATTGAAAATTATTATTATTATTATTTTTGGTTTGAATGGGAATCTTTTCGATGGATAAACTCATGTGAGCTAAGAAAATGAAAAAAAAAAATTGAACAACTTGAATTATTAAAATTTATTAATTTTAATTATTTATTTTAATGTTGGGAGCTTGGAAAAATATTTAGTCAAATCATTTTGATTCCAAAATTATTGAATTGTCTCTTTTTTTATTTGAGAACTGTATTAATAGTATATATAATTAATTTCACGAAGTATTAACTTTAAATGTTAGAAAAAGAATAATTAAACTAAAATATCTCTCAATTCAATTTCTCATATATTAAGTTAAGAGTGGTAAATTTTGATAAATTAAAAAGTAAATTGTAAAAAAAAAATTAAAAAAATCAATCAAACCGAACATATTTTTATGCATGTTTTTTTATCGTATACTTTAGGTAAGAAAGATCTGACTATAGAAAAACTTCCACAAATCAAAATAAATGGAAGAACAAGAAATTACAACATTTAATGGGAATAATTAAAAAATCCTATACAGGGGAAACCTTGTCCACTCAAACAAAGTGAAATTAAAGTATTTCCATTTTCATTTTTGAATTATGAATACTAAAACAACGACCCAAGAAAAATGCCATGGTAATTACAAAGATAACGTGCCTCTCTTTGCAAAAGAAAGCTTTAGCCTTCTAGCTCATGTTACGTTACTACCAATATATTTTTCTAATTAAAAGAATGTATACCTTATCTGCTTTTATATATGATAAGGATTCTAATAATAATAATAATAATAAATCTCTTTATAAACCTTTGTCATTTTGGGGTTATAATTTTACATTAATTTTTTTTAACTTTGCATATGTAATAAAATTAGGTTTTTTTAATAAAAGATAATGCACGTTGAAGATAATAAAAATAATTTAAAATGTCAAGATTTAAATTTTAAAATTATTAAATATTAATTATAATAATAATTACATAATAATTAAATTAAATCACAAATTTAAATTATATTTATATATCAATTGCAAAGGCTAGCCAGAGATGGTCCAACTCCCATTCCAGAGATAGACGTCACATACAAAAGGACTTAATTACGTACCAACAATAAAAAAAGGACTTTATTAATTTTACTATAAAAAATAAAGGCTACCCAAATATAGTTTCCCCTCATATAAGCCTAGGGCTAGGTCAATAAAATTATTGAATAAGACAGTTAATGCACAAATCGTCTTTTGGGACACCCTTTCCTGAAAATTTCAAATCTTACTGTTTTTTTTTTAGAAAAATTCTAGAGCAATTCAAAGATCTTCGAGTCTTTTTCTATCATCATTGACCATTGGTTACGCAATGATTAAAACCATGTTATAATTAAGTTCGTTTTTTATACATTTATTAATAACATTTTTAAATTTTACAAAAATATTTAAAAGCCGTTATGTGTATTTTTTAAATATTATAATAAAATGTATGAAAGCTCTCTAATTTCTCAAATAAAGTTAATAATTAATTTATTAAATATTGAATATTCTGGGATTATAAATTAATCCTTTTTGGTGTTAATATATTATGATTAGATTATTATCGACAATGAAGGAAGATCTACCAACTCTATTGATGATTTATTCACCAACTAGTAAATTATTTATCCACCATTTTCCTGATAGAGACAAGATTTTGCAGCTTTTTTTTTTTTTGTCGGTATATTTGAACTTTTGCAAATTCAAGCACATGTATGATTCATAGAATGGAGAGCTAGAAACGTCCATTACTCTGTTTTGTATTGAACAATTTGCGACCGTGATTCTCCATATAATTTTAAAATGAGAAAGTGTCTCATAATTTTTTTTTTTTTTTGGGAAAATTTAAGTATGCAAATGAAAAAGTTGAAAAAAATAAAAGATAGAAGTTCGAATTTTATTATTATTATTATTATTATTTTTATTGATTGAATAAAAAAAGAACGATCCGTACATGTAGAAAATGAGGTAAAAATCACGAAGCTTGAATGCATTAATCATCATTTAGGAGAAACACTTAAAATTGAGTTTTGTTGCTTTTTTTTCAAGTTTCAGTTTGTGTTTTCCAGTGAAATTAATGGAAGGGAAGTGAAGAGGGAAAAGAGCAGCGAGGCACGTGAATGGCGGAGCCATAAACATAAGGAAGAACAAAAGCATGTCATGTACCAGGCTGGCACTGGTGGTTTGGTCGGGCACAATAATTACCAAGCCCTTGAGTGCCAGCTGTAGGCAAGTGGTGTAGGCCCACCCCCGATCCTTCTTACTCCTCGTCACATTCTAGTCAACCTAGCCTCAATAGAGCAAGTGGTTCGTTTCTTTTATCAGTATGATTTTAAAATATACACTTTGATATTAAATTAATATATTCAAATATTTTTAAAAAATATTTTTAATGTAATTTTACAAAGATTAAATTTAGATTAATAAGAAAATAACTTTTTTCTTATAATTAAACAAATACATAGCGCACTTGTGTTTATTTATATTTTTTTATAAAAAATTCACAAAAAAAAATTATTCAAAATTTAAATTAAAATAAAATATATTGTACTTAATATCTGTAGATAAATGGTTGTAAATAAATTTATTTATAATCATCCTCATTGTTATCATCATTTCTCTTATATATAATAATAATAATTAGTAGTAGTAGTAGTTGAGAAATAATAGCATTTATTACGTTACAAAGGCACAAAAATTTTTTGACAAAAATTTCTCATTATAGAAACAACTTTTTTGGGTAATTGCAGAATCAAAATTGGGACCCACAGGGCACAGCCATGAAAGTGCATGCAATTGGCATGCAAAAATGGAGCGTAGCAGTAGTGAAACGAAAGTCTTCATCAAGGGACCTTTTGGGCCATATAAACAGAAACAAAATTGTATTATAATCGGGCAGGCACAATCAGGTAGGTTTTCATTTTTGGACAATCGAGCTAGCCACTAGGAATCTTTTTGCCTATGTTGTCACCCTCTCATTACCGATGAAAGAGACCTAGAGACCTTGATTATCAGATGATCAACTTCGGTAAAACTCAATTTACTTAACCCAATTGTCAATTGTACTTTGCAGAGAGTGTCCAATCTTCTTTAATAATGAACAGAAGTCTGAGAATTTACATCATAATTTTATACCTATTTTTTTATTACTAAGAAAAAAATTAAAGATATTAATTTTATTCATATTTGAAAAAAAATTTAATTTTTCCCTTAAATAAAAATAGATATTAAGTTTTATGGGTGAAATGAAAATGTGTGTTATTTTAAATTTTTTATTAAGTACGAGAATGAAAACATATAATATAACATCTATCTTGTACCAATATCTTATATTTATATATTAAGTAAATAAATTTTTAGTTTAAATTATTTAAAATGTATATATTTACAAAAAAATTATATAAATGTGTAAGATAAAAATAAAAAAATTTAAAATATAAATTTTTATTTTTATTTAAAAAAAATTATGGATATGAAAATTATTTTTACTCATTAAATATCTGTAAGAATGAGAATATGATAATTTTAAAATATGTATGCATACTGAGATTGATCCCAACTATAAAAATGAAGAATATTCTACCTGTTTTGTACCATTCACATTAACATGCCTAAATAGAAGTCATGATCATTAATCAGTATAAGTAAATTTTTTACGAGAAAAAATCATTGGCCATTAAGCAAGCAAACAAAAGGAAAATAAAGAACCATTGAAATTAATTATATTTATCAATGCGGTGAAATATAAAGATCACTGAAATGATACTACCGGATACTAAATTTTAAAGCTGAATTTTCATGGGCTTTCTCTTATTTGTCAAGTTCAATGGCATCTCACCATTTGAATGAACTTGTGTGATGAAAAGTGAGAAGTTGATTATGTTTTTCGTAATTTATTAATGCTTTTTAATTCTTACCTTCTCTGGAAATCATTCTCTTTTATCGAACAAGGCTCCTGCCATTGATATTGAAAGTGGAATTAAAGCAGTTTTACGTGTATATTTTGCAACCTGGATGTTCGAAGCTCGTGTTAAGGAACTCCAGGCTTCGGTTTTTCAGAGGGAATGCTAGAAATACCAGGCCGAAAGCAAATCCAGGGTCCAATAATGGAAACTTATTGGGTTCAAACTTTAAATTTACAGATTTGATTTGCTAATCAGACAAGCCAAGTAGGCGGAGCCCACATGCTAGGGATAGTCATGGCCTGACCCAAAACTGATCCGACCATCAAGATTGTCAAGGGTTTGGTACTTGTGATTTGTTGGTGCTGGGCCACTTTCCTGGTTTTTGATGCTCTAACTGCTGTGGTTGTGAATCTGCGATTCCATTTGCAGATTTCTTTAAGTGCATGTTTCTTCATGTCATTAAACAAAACGGGGGTCAATAACTTGGCTCATGATCAGCTAGCTCAGGCAGAGTTGGATTGGACAATGGGAATCTATGGTGGGACTAGTGACCCCATGACATCAAGTGCCCTTTTTATCTCTCAATCTGATATTTTCTTCAAACTTTTTCATTAATAGGATATTGATCAAAGGCCTAGGTAGCTATCCAAAAACACATAATTTTCACAACCAAGACGTTCACATGTGCAAAGGGCATCGATAAACAAGCAAAAAGAAGAATGTAGTAAAACCAGAGAACTTTTGGTGGAGTGGGCATGAAGTCGTTATCTTTGGGAAGAAAGACATGTCGTTGGTTACCTTGTCTTTGCCCTACTGGAGTGGGGTGTGCGTAGTTGCAACTTCTAAAGTGGTTTACTCAAAAAGCATCACACTATAACCACAACTACCCGAACGAACCTCCCCATTACCACCAGTAAGTTCAACAGAACAAAGCATTGAATTAGAACAAGAAATTAACTAAGGATTGGATTGCTGTCTGATTAACCTGGCCAAAAGCATGTTGTTAATACTACTTGATTGCATTATGCGTTGAAAAAAAAGTTGAGAAAACAAGAAAAGAGCATGAAAGCAAAGAACATATTTAAAAGAAAAAGAAATTCCATTATTTTTAAGTTCACCAACCAAATAAAAATATAGAGAAATTGTTTTGAGTTTGATGCTTTACTTTAGGTCACTAACTACTGCTGATGCTGGCGTTTGCACTTACGTGCCTTTCACAATCCCTTGTTACTTCGTTCCCAATAATTCCTCACGCCAAGAATCTCTCCCATCCTCAACAATAAACATACTCCTCTTCCCGAATCCAATTATTCACTTCATATTCACTCGCTTGTACGATTGGGAACCACCCCCCCCCCCCCATTATAGCTGTGATGATCACCTTGCCGTCCTTGGATTTTCTCTCATTTCCTTACAAAATTTTGCCGTTGGTCGGTTCATCCTGGCATGCCAGGTTGCTTCACTCCAACATGCAAATTTCCTTGCTCAAAAAAAAAAAAAAAACCAATAAATTCCAGCCTCATAATTACATGAGCATTCTTTACACGTTTATAAACTCTTTCAAATTTATAACTTCTAAGGATTAGCTTCAATATTATATCAATTGATCCAAAAATGAATTCGTCGAAAATGGGGCATACCATTCACGCTATCGTATTAAGAAATGTCATGATCTATACTAAACTCGAAGGTGTTTTTAAAAATAATCCTCTGGTAATTGACTTTTTATAGAATGTAATGCTGTGTTTTTTATGGCAAGGCTGTCATTGTTTGCTCACCATTGTGGCCTTTACCAACCCCTAATGATTGGGTAAAGGATTAGGAAATTAATTCATCAAATTATTGGATCACATAGCCGCCGTGATTTTGGGGGTTATTGTCCATCCAAGAAGCAAACACTACTGTATATAATTCACAACATGGGTGGGTCAACTGCACATGAACTGCATGATTAAGTGGCTTAACACACAACACCATTAGTGCAAAATATTACCCTATATAATTAATAATTTTCTTATTATTTCACCCTTTTTTTATATAATTTCTCATTCCATAAATATTTTTTTTTAATTTCAATTTGACACGAAATCGAAATGTTCGGTTTTAAAAAAATTTTTAAATTTTGATTATTGAGATACATATTTTTAATCACAATTAGGATATTTTGAAATTGGTTAATTGCTTAAGAAATTAGCATTAATTAATTACTATTAGTTAAATTTAGTTAAAGGAAGCTTTAATATTCCTAACAAGTGACCAAAGCAACCATTCAAAAATGCCAACTTTGGGCAGACTAACTTAGTTCTAATTAAAGTTTGTATACATTCAGTTAAAAAAAAAACCAAATGATTACTAAAAGTATTAAGAAAGACTAACAGAAACTCCAAGCAAGAAAAGCAAATAAAGGGAGAAAAGAAAGGGAGGGGTGGAGAGGCGCAAATTCTGTGGTTCCAGGCTTGCAAACCAATCCTCCCAGAAGGAATCGTTGGGAAAAAGTAATGGGTTTGCTTCAAAGCCAACCGAATCTCACTCGTTTCCTAGCCTTCTCATACTGACATTGCATCTTCTCTTTCCTATGTAATGTCATGTAATAACACCTTTTATTCTCTCCCTTATTATATACAGTTTTGTATTTTTATGTTTTGCCTATATATACTTGTTAACTTCCAAGGTTGGAAACACAATACTGGCAAAGCAAATTCCAGGATATCTGTTCACAAGGGTTTCAATCTTTTTTCCTTTTTTCCTTTGTTTTTTGTTTTTTTTTTTTTTTTTTTGACTCTGATCTTACCTGATAGAAACCTTTCACTGAAATTAACATATCTGCTTTCATCACCTATATATATCCAGCTTTTTTCTCTCCAAGTTTGTTATTGTATAGAATTAGAGATGATGATGATGGAGGATCAGGAGGAAGTTGTTGTTTGTAAAGATCAGGTGCAAATCATCAAAGGCAAACGTACCAAGCGTCCAAGGCCGCTGTCTCCTCTGACTTTGGCGATGGCTTCAAGCACGACTTCTAGTGGAGGAGAAAGTGGGGGTGAGGGTGGAAGAAATAGTGATGATTCGAGGGGATTTGATCGAGCTGTTGCTTCTACAACGACATCTGTTGAGTTAGCAGAAAGCACTGAAGAAGAAGAAGACATGGCCAATTGCTTAATACTTTTGGCTCAAGGTCAAACAGGAAAACCATCCGAACCAACTTCCTCCTCGGCAACAACAAGCAAGACGGGGATATACGTACACCAGTGCAAGACATGTAACCGGTGCTTCCCTTCATTCCAGGCGCTTGGTGGACACAGAGCAAGCCACAAGAAACCCAAGGTTCATAATGAAGAGAATAATAAAGGGTTGATTTTTGTGAAAGAGGATAATGATCAATTCAATAACATGAATACAACCCTTTCACTTCAAATAACCCATAGGGCTGTTTTATGCAATAGCAGCAAATCCAAAGTTCATGAGTGTTCGATATGTGGCGCGGAGTTCTCTTCCGGACAAGCTCTTGGGGGTCATATGAGGAGGCATAGGACATTAACTAATGCTGCAATAACAGCTACTACAACTTTGAGTGTTGGGACAAGAAGCAGTCCTGAATCGGAAGAGTCCAAGAAACCAAGAACTGTTCTGCAGTTGGATCTTAATCTTCCAGCCCCGGAAGATGATCATCACCGGGAATCTAAATTATCATTTGCTTCCAAGGAAAAACTACTGGCCTTTTCGGCGTCTAATTTGGTTGATTGCCATTACTAGACATGCAACTCCAACTTCGTAATTTTTTGGGGGAGTTTCTATCACCCAAAAATCAATGTGTATTATTAACACTAATTATTTTCTCACTAATATCATTCACAATTATTCATTCTTCGAATTCTTTTAAATTTAACCAAGTTCCACGTTCATGAAGTTGAAAAATTCTTTGGCAAAGTATGTTAGCTTTTGTTTTCCATTGTAGGATTTGATCCATATAGAGATAATTTTCATTTTTCTTTCCCTTTTTTCTCTAAACTAGACCTGTTTATTCCTTTATGAGTTGGAAAAGCATGTGATGAAATAGAAAGAGATAGAGAGAGGGAGAGGGAGATAATAAATTAATAATAAAGATAAGAGCAATTAGGAGAGCAAAGGAGAAGGAAAGAGGTGGCGGAGGGGGAGTTTGCGCATGAATTTGCCACCACCAATTCCACAACTGAAAGTGGTGGATTAGGTTCTCTTGTTTGGTTTCCAAGAAAGCTGAAGTTCCATCTCTGTCTATCTGTTTCATTAATATGACAAAAAATTAAACGGATGGCAACCGAGTCAGATTGCTAACTGCCCTCCTTTTATGGATCCACCTATGCATTTCGGTAAAAGTACACTATCTCACACTCAGCTTTAAAACCATAGCTTATCTAGTGACCCAAAAGCATACCAAATGAAAAATGATTGCATTAAATAGCTAGTCAGAGACTGGATGACAGGATTTCACTGCAAAAAGGGCCTTTATCTCTCAACCAATATTTATAATTGTCTTCAACTGAAGATAGGGAAGTGTGTTGTCAGTGGTCACAACTAAGGATATCTAAGGACTCCATGAAATGGTAGATCAAAAGAGGACAAGAAACTCTTATATATACCTAGTTTTTCCTTTTTGTCTTGTTCCCCTTTCCATGCAAATAGCATCCCTCTAGAGAAAGAGAGTGAATTAAAGAGGTTATTTAAATTGTTGTAGAGGTTTGTTAAATGAGGCTAATGGGCACATTTGGCGGGTATTGAGAAGCCACGCCATGTGACCCACTTTGCTTGGGGCATCCAAATCCATGAGAAAAGAGAGATCAGTTGACACTTGACAATTAGAAATAGGGGATCGTTTCATTTGACATTGGCACATGTATGGTGGTCTCACATCATCTTAAAAACTCTTTAATATTCATGGCTCTCAAGAGTCCTACATTTACATGTACAATTTAGATTGTATTGAATGTTTTTGTTGGTTGTTGAGGGCAAAAAGCCATTTTCTGCATGCTGGCTAGTGGCCACTCAATTAATAAGAGGAGCATATACAAAGTGTGGGTTTGTAGTGGAGATCAGTTTCTGCAGATGTGATAGGCATGCAAAGGTCAGTCATCCTGGTATATTATGCCTGGTTGAATATAGGAATTTTTTCTAACTAGAATATATAAAAAAAGGCCTGAATCTACCATTGTCCCACCAATTTGGACCCTGGAGCAGGCACTAGCTAGTAGTGGCAATGTAAATATAGTTAGGAAATTTTAGGAATCTATATATGGTTGGAGTGCAAAGGATTAGGAATTCAGGATTCAGGCAGAACACAAATACATGAGCATCTTCTCTGACCATTCCTTGTTGCCCAAACATGCCCATCAAGTTCACTGGAAATGACTAGTGTGGGGGCATAGAAAAGGCTCAGTTATGCTACACACTTATACTAGTTCCTACTTTTCCCATTTTTAGAGCTAATGAAAAAGCAAATTTGTATACATATAGCAAGATCCATTTCCACTATGACATTCCTTGATGGTTTTTTATTTTGAATTGGTATATATGAGACTATGCATACTTCATAGTGCATGATATGTTAATAATTTTTTAGAAAAAAAGTTTACAATAATTAGTTTCTTTCATTAATTAAGTTCAATCTCATACATTTTTAAATTCGTAAAGATTATAAATAATTTAATTTCATTCATTTTTAAATTTATAAGGATACTAAGTAAAAAAAAGTTTATAATCTTTATTTTATATAATAAAATATTGAGAATTGATTTTTATTTTTAATAAAGTTTGAGAATTTATTTGAGGATTACATTCTTGTTAAAATTAAATTATTTTTTTAATGAAACTCAAAGATGAAAGATATGCGACAATAGTATATCAGACAATTGGGTATTTATTTATTTTGAAAGGTTATCAATGATGCTTGGAAAACAAATTCTTTATTTTAATTATAAAACAAACATTAATGCTAATTTTATGGTATTAAATTTTTTTGCCAGAAGAAAATTTTTTTTTATAGTATTAATTATACTTATTTAGAAGTCAGATTATACGTTCATATTCGAAGGCTCTAACTTTTGAAAGAATTTAGATAAAAAATTAAAATTTATTAAATAATTTGAATATAAATTTTAAATCAATTTAAATTTTAAGTGAAATATTAAACAAAAATTTAAAATTCGAATTCAGTCCAATGACTCAAATTCACATATATATATATATATAAATTAAAAATAAAATTATTTATTTTATTAAACTTAAATTTTATTTTATATATATATGAATTAAATATAATCTCATTAAATTTAATTATATTTTTTTAAAAAAATTTATTATATAAATTAAGTTTAATAAATAAGTTTAAGATTTATTTTTTAATTTAAATCAAATTTTAAAAAAAAATTTGAGACTCAAAACTTTATATCGAATAAAATTTAAATAAATATATAAATTATTAATATCAAACATAAATCTGATTGAACTTATAAATAATTCGAATAATAATTAATTAATTAAATTTATTTATTATTAGTTATATTTAAAATTTAACTCTAACTATTAAAATTAAAAATTGAACAGAGTACTCAATTATAGTGCTACATATATATTAAGGAGTTGAGAAAAAGGAAAAAAAAAAACCTATTAAGTACTTCGTAAAACATAAAAATAATTTTTATAAAAGATATATATACTGACGTGGCATAGCATCTAATTTCGAACCTCCACAAATCGTAGGTTAATTGGCCGAATGAACCAAAACGAGAGAAACAAGAGCACAGAAATCGAAAGAAAGAAAGAAGAAAAGAATGGCGGTTCCACGCAATGGATTGATGGAAGAGGATGAACACGACGATGAAAACTCTCTCTTCGAAGAAAATGGTCTCGAGATGGACCTTGAAGAAGCCAACACCCCTCCTCACCTCCGAGAACTCGCCGCTGCCGCCCAGCTCGGCGATCTCAACGCTCTTCGCCTTGCCCTAGGTTTCCCTTACCTTTTTGCTTTTACAAATTTACTCTTCTCCTCCTCTTTCTTTTAGCTTCGTCCATTGAATTTTGTTGTTTGCTTGCCATAAAGCGCTTTGGGATTTAGCCTTTTTGTTAAACTTACAAAGATTAGTTCTTTTTCCCTGGGGGTGGGGTTTTTTCAACCCGACATGAAAGTTTTTTTTGGGGGGGGTTTTTAATGAATTTTTAAGGTAACCCATTTAGCTGATTTTCAGTACTATTTGATCTCTTAAGCATGTAGTGGCTTTGGGTTAACCCTGGTGTAGTAATAGTTATTACCTATGAATCAAAATGTAGACTCTTTTTGTAGTGTTTTTCAAGCGGAATTCAAGGAGCAGGATGAAAGTGCTTATAGCAAATAGATGAAGTAAAGGAGCATATTTGATGTTGATTCAAATTCGTGAATGTTATATGCAAGTGGATGGTTAATTATATTCTTAGTGAATTAGAGATTAAAGCTTTGCGTATATTATTTATTGCTTATATTATATTTATGAAAAGTGGAAGGAGCTGAACTTGAGACAATTTCTGAGCATGCCATTTATTTGATTAAATGTCTTCCTATATCATATGGTGATTGTAGTTTGAGTTTTGATTTTTGTTTCCAATGATTTTGTCAATGGCGGCAATGTAACCACACAAGCAGGTATTTGGAAGGATTATGCTCTTTGGCTATTACTGTTTCTTTTATCATTTTAGTTGGACTCACTTGGACCTTAAAATGTCCTTGTCTATTATATTTCGTACTGATGCTATTTTTTTTTTCACTTGATTGTATAGACAACTTGAATGGCAGCATCAATGAACCTGTAGAAGATGGCGACACAGCTCTCCATCTTGCCTGCCTTTATGGTTATCTACCTTGTGTCCAGGTCAATTGTCTGATATTGTTGTTGTATCTGCTTATTTTGATGTGTTTTGTTCCAGCCCAAAAATCTTGTGATTGATGATAATCCCTTGCAGTTACTTTTGGAAAGAGGGGCTAATTTGGAGGCCAAGGACGAAGATGGGGCAGTTCCTTTGCATGATGCCTGTGCTGGGGGTAGGCTGTACACTTTTGAGTAAAATCTTCATCTCTAATTAGGTACTGACTTTTATTTCTTTCTCTTCTGATGACATTTTCAGGATTTACTGAGATTGTACAACTTCTACTTGACAGAGCCACCAACACAGGATGTCTGAAAAGGATGCTAGATTCAGTTGATGCAGAAGGTGATTCTGTGAGTACTGAGTACCATATAACTCTTGAACCATCTTGAATTCTAATTTCTCTATTTTTTATTTAATTGCTAGACCATTGATTGAGATCAAAAGTCAGTTGATTCCATTTCAATAGATTCTGTTTTGCTTGGCTTCTTCAATTGCACGTTGATAAAAGATTTTATTTAAGTAAATAAAAATGGGAATTCTTTAGGCACTCCTCTCCTCCTGGCTTGACACTGCTGGTCTCTTTGACAAGGGATGCTTAAAATGACCAACTAGAATGAAATAGCTGCTTAATTTTTGCCCTTCCTCCCCATACCTCTCCAGTTCTTGTGTGAACCCTAAATGCTTTTTACATATGGTCTTTTTTTGTCAGCCTCTTCATCATGCAGCACGAGGTGAGCATGTGGATGTGATACGGTTGTTGTTGGCTAATGGTGCTTCTCCCACAAAGACAAACACATATGGAAAGGTTAGTCTTCACCAAGGTTTTCTAGCTTATATGTTCCATTCCTAAATGTGTTTCTAACTCAAAATTCTGCAGATCCCACGTGAGCTAGCTGACCCTGAAACCGAGGCTTGGAGCGTTTTTGAAGCTGATGCTAGTGCTGAGACCTCCCAGTAAGGTTACACCTGATGGTTCTTGAATATTGCTTGGCCAATGTTAGAGGAGTAGGGTTGAGTTGTGGCTACTCTTTTTCTGCCACTCTGTTGAAGATTTTTGAGGCTAGGATGAAATATTTGTTTCTCATTTAATTTATTACTTGTATCTTAGGAAAAGAGAGAACTTCTAAGTTATAGATTTTCAGTGCTACCCTGTTGTTATTCCAAAGTAACAAATCTCATACAGAAATTCAGATTTTATGTCATGCAGTTCCTTCTAGTGATTTAGATGATATTGTATGTCCCAACTCGGAAAACCACTGGAAGTGGACTTGTTTTTTCACCATCTAACGCTTAATAGCTGATGCAGCTCTCAACCTTTCCGTGTTTTCTGCTATTGTGTGCCGTCATCACAATAACATGAATGACATTCATCATAGACTTGTAAATCTTTTGAGTATATTGAAATAGTTGAAGTTGTTGAACAGAGTGTGAAAGAGAATTTGAATGCGGAGAAGGTTATCATTTCTATTTCATCCGAATAGCCTTTGGCCAGTTGACAGATTATCTAAATGGTTGAGTAATAACTTGTTAAAATGGTTTTGCGGTTAGATTGTAAAAAAACAAAAAATGGAAACTTGAGTTTTGCTGTTTGCACTTTCATTGATATTACATCTAAACTGCTATTCTAACTTGGTATTTTAATTTATGATAAATTTTTAAGAGAATTTATCAAATACTATTGCAATGAAATTAATAGATTCCATTATTACAATGAAATTTTTAGATTTCATAAATTAGTAGGCTGCCACATAAGGGGATATTTAAAAAATACAAAAAATTAATTAAAAAAGTGTGATATGTTTCAGTCTTTTAACTCCGTTTATGGAGTTGAAAATTTTCCTTACTATATCAAATAATTTCTTATTAAAAAATTTAATGGATTTAATAATGATGAGAGTTATTCGATTATAAAATTGAATAACTTACATTTTGATGGGGATTTCTGATCTTGTTGAGAGATCATGCAAGTCAAAATGGTTTCCAATTTCCAAATCCAAGATTTATAGGCTGATGAATTGCTCCATTATTTCCCAATTGCAAAAGTTGAATGCAATCTTATTTGTTTTTGTTTCATTTAATTTCACTGTAATTTGCAAAGCAAAAATGTTAACCAACTCAGAAAAAGTGAGTTGTAAGCAAAAGTTTTTTGCCATCCAGAATAACAACTACACTGAATTAATCAATGAAAAAGCATTCAATCTGGTTTTCTACCATGAGTAACAAACTAAAATTAACCAAGAAAAAAAAGCAAAAGGCAAACAAATTTACACAAGTTAATTTTGAGTGATGGTGATACAATTAACTATGGCAACTCCATTGGAAAGAACAGCAGTATAGAATATTGAAAGAAATGATCATATACACGATTTGTTCGCAATCTGTTAAGGTGGAAGCTTGCTTAAAGCCACCAACATGGCTGCGTGGGCTTTCTATTGATATCACTGCGATTTAAGAGCAACAACCACCGCCAGCAGGAGCCTGGTGCTCTGGTTTCTGCTTTAAGATGTTTCTCTTCCCTACAGCAGACCCTTCTTCCAAAAGACTTGGAACTTCCATTATCTGTAAGAAAATCCATAGCTGATTAGAACTGAGAAAAGAGATTATGCCATTATTTAATCTAAGGCATAGCTTTCTTTGCTTATGGTACCCGCTTTATTCTATGTAACATAACAACAGTAAAAAAGATTTGGATAAACAAATACAGTAATCAATCATCCAAATTTATTGTGATACACTCATCTAATCCTAAATAATCTAGTAACTTATTGCTGTCATCAGGATCCATGAAGAATCATTGTTGGTTTAAAGGTTTGGAACAACCATTCTTAATGATTTGGTTATATATAACATAACCCCACTGAATGGTTACAGATCATTTTTGAACTGATCCACCAGCCGATAATATCTAATATGTTATATATATTACTAGAAAGGTTAAGAGAAAAATTGCTGTCACAAAAATGTACCTTCAATGTCAGCTTTTCAAAGCATTGCTCCACGTTTTCTCTTGTTTTAGCACTGCATTCAAGAAACATACATCCATGCTCTTTTGCAAGCGCAATCCCTTCTTCTCTACTTACAGCCCTTTCAGAATCCTGAAATGTAAACAAATTGGATGTAATGAATCAGAATATGAATTCAAACAAAATGACTCAAAAGGGAGTCTTCATACGAGAAAACATAAATTACAATATCAACAGACTGGAAATATAAGAAGGCTGGTATTCCAAATGATATCAATTTTGCTAAGTTTCTGGAGTTTTAGAGGCGGCTATGATAAAGAATAATTAATAAGATAAAACCAATTATTTATTGTTCATCTAGTTTTCTAACCATTTCCAGGGATGTTCAGGAGTCAGTTGGCTGAACAACTGAATAGATAGAGAAGCAATTAAGAGGATCTAGAGCCCACTTTCATATGCAAAGAAAAGCAGTACTTAAGGTAGGAAATGCAACAGTCTGAGTGACATGAAGTTTTCAAGTCTGCATTAGTATAAATATATATACTGTGGCTAAAAATGAATCATTAAATTGTATTAAACCGCAATCCTATGGTTTTTGGCACACAATATAGGGGAAAACATCAGCAGATATTCTCTTATTGGCTATGCAGGAATTAAGATCACACAAAATGCAAAAGCCTTATGGGTGCAATGCCCCCTTTAGAACTTATAAAAATTTTCTTAACAACTTTGTTCCATGAGGTTTCTTCAACACGAAGAAAGAAAAGGAGCTCTGACTGATTATGAATTTGCCCATTAACAACTTACTAATCTATCCTTAATCAATTCAGGAGTGAGGCATGAAGGAGGTCGACTTATCTTAAAAAATTAAATTTAAGGATCGGAAAGAGAACACTAGACTTACTTTATCAACTTTATTTCCAACAAGCATCTTGACACAGTCCTGATTGGTAGAATAGAGCTCCACTTCTTTGGCCCAAACATCGGACAGATTTGTGAAGGTTTCTCTCCGTGTTACATCATAAACTATAACCAAAGCCAAGAAATAAGTCAAATAATTTTGGCAATTTAAACCCTGGGCAAACAATATATTTAATTCAACACCTTCGGCACATATAACCAAACTCATGCTTAGCCAGCCGAAGAGGAAAAGCTCAATCAATATTTTAACATTATGCATGTCAATATTCATGACTGTGTCTGCTTTAGTGACCTAAGAGCCAGTTCCTAATTAATCTTGTTATCAGACACATGAATGCTTATGATAACATTGGGCAGTGACATCAGATTGCTAAAACTGTGCAACTTGAAACTATTGATATGCTCCATCAAACAAACTCAAGAAAGTAGAGTAACTCATATATGCACCAGAAAGATAAACTTACCAAGTATGATCCCTTGGGCACCTCTATAGTAAGAGGTTGTTAATGTTCTGAACCTTTCCTGTCCAGCTACAAGAAGCATTGTGGTTCCACAAATCAATCGTGATTTCTCCATGTTGCAATACAATTATTTTAATGTATACAAAAAAGTTAATAGCTAATAAAAGATTAAAGAAGCAACATCAAGCTAACCAGGTCAAGAAAGCTTTTTTTCATTTTGTCACATTTGAGAAGTAGAAACATATCACTAACAACAAAATGAAACCCAGAAACTCATTTCAACTGATTAATATATCATCAATTGTACAGGTATTTTCATTCACATATGATTTATCTAAATTCCTGAAGTTTGATTTCAATGTTGTGCTGAGTGCTGATTTGGTGCCACAAAAAAATCAGATTAAAACAGATTAACAAAAACATTTTCATCCAAATGTTAGAACCGTTTTCATGAGAAAATTCTGACAAAATTTGGCATGGAAACAGGTTAGTTGATAGACTTCAATAAAAGGTCAACATCCAAGCGGCCAGCAGTAGAACAGTAGGAATAAAGCTCGGATGACAATGACAACAATATCATATTAATGTATTAGTGAACATTAAGTCAGTAAAAATGAGCTCTCTCCTATGTAAAAATAAGGAAGTCAATTGCAAATATAGACAATTGACTTCAATTAGACTGACAGATTTTGACAAAGAATCCAAATTTGAAACTGAAACATATTAGTATGAGTTTCATACCAGTATCCCATATAGTAAGCTTTAATCTCTTCCCACAAACTGTCAACAACTTGATCTTAAAATCCACACCTAAAACAAACCCCAAATCAAAATTTACCATAAACTAATCAAAGATCCAGGACTGAAAAAGTTAAGAAAAAATAAGAGAAAATTAACCAATGGTGGGAGCTAGATCTTCTGCAGAAACTGAAATGAAGCTAACAAGCAAACTACTCTTGCCAACACCCGAGTCTCCGATCAACAAGATCTTGAATGAAAGATCATAGCTTCCACTACTTTGCCCTGAAGATGATCCCATTTCAATTTTTCTATCTAAAAACAAAAACCCAAGCTTTAAAAATCTCTGCTGTTTCTCTTCTTTTCAAAGTCTCTGCTGTGTCCAATGATGATCACCCTTCCAAAAGAGAAATAAAAATCCCGGGTGAGCAAATGAATGGCTTCTTTCTCTCTAAAGTACAGTGAAAAAGAAATGTAATATATAAAGGAGAGAGAATTAAAAAAGAAAAAGAAATTTTTTTTAAAGAGAAAAACAAAAGAAAGAGAAAGAGAGAATCAATGCGACCTTTGAGGGGAGAAGCTAAGGGAAAACGGCTAACTGGGGAACACCTGACACCAACGTTATTTCTCCTCTTTTTTTTTTTTTTTGGTTTTGTTTATTCTTTTTCTTCATATGCGGTGCCGTTTCGAGAAAGATTGGGGTACAACAGTTGGAACAGTGCCGACATGGCACGCGGGAAAACTGGAGCGTGTATCGACGCTCCAACCGTTTGGTGGAGGGGTGCTTTCATGGGAGATTAGGAAACTGTTTGGATCGAGATCTTAATTAAGAAATAAACAACAGGGATTTTTATTAAGCTTTTGGCTAATCATAAATAATCTTGGAAATTTTAATTTTCAAATTTCCATTCTCTAAAACTCTTTTTTTTTTTTTTTAAATCAATGAATTTTTCCTTCTATTTTATGAAATAAAAGTGAAAAAGGAAATTTTATTTTATTTTTTTGAAATTCAACAGACATTATGATTGCATTGGCCCCAAAGGAAGTTGCACTTCAAATTTAAATTCTGATGATAATTTTATTAGCATAGCTTAAATTTTTTGGTAAGATATTTCCTTCAGATGGGGCATGATAATCATCATAAACAGCTAGCATATTACAAAAAAAATCTACATATTTGATTCGTATAAAATTTAAATATCTTTAATCATATTTTAAAAAAATCATATTAGTATCTCATATTCTCAAAAATATATGTATTAAAATTTAAAAAATATATATTTATTAGCTCAAAAAGCAGTTGAATCTCTCATTCTCTTTGAATATATTTAATGATGTTTTTAGGTTGTGTTAACTAAAAAGAGATGAGATAAGGTTGAGGGAAAGATAATTGTGATATGCAACAAAAAAAATATGATAAAAAACCTCTGAAATTATTATTTAAAAGAGCGTTTTGATGCTTAAATTAATATAGTATTAATGAAACAATAAGTAAAGAAATAGGAAAGGAGATGAGATTCATCAAGTGTGTGGAAAAAGCTTTCAATGGAAGGAGAAGATCAAAGTTTAATCGGTATGTCTTATGTATCTCGTATTTTAATTATTTAATGTATGAAGTTAAAATGTGATAATTTGATTAAGATAATTGATAATATTTTTATGTGAAATTTTAAAAAAATTTATATGAAAAATTGATAATCTCATTTAACGATCTCACATAAACATGAGCTAAATTTAATAATTTCAAGTAAATTAGATGAGTTACATTTAATGATCTATGTAAATTGGAAACCAAATAATCAATTATGAAGCAATTGTCTTGATTTGAGCCTTTCACTAGAGCTAATGACATGGCTATTTAGACATGCCTTGTCTAGATAATCTCAAGGTGTGATCATGTTAGATCAAAATTTAATCAAATTAATGATTGATTAATTGATTTAGACGTAATAAATCTCATAATAAAAATGAAATATAACACTACATAAAGTTAAATATGTTAGAGGTTATCAATAATAATTTTAACAGAATTATTAAAACCATGCGTGTGACACAACAATATTAATAATCTAAATTCATGTAAGGTGGGTAAGAAAAGTTTGAAGTTTAGTAAAGTAATAAACTAAGTCTAAAAATGTTTTATTTTTTGGTGCAATAACAATGTCTAAAAAAAATTATAGTGTAGCATTACGATGAAGCAGGTTGGATGGACATTGGGAATGAGTCAGCATAACAAATAATAAGACTGGAGTTGAGATGACATACCTTTTGTTGGATGTGATCATCACGATCTCACTGCTTTTTCTTTTAAATAATAAAAAATTTTGAATTTTATTATTTTATTTAAATAAATTTTTATATTTTAATTATATCTAGATAAAATTCGTGATCGATTATTTACATTTAAATAAATTTTTAAATTTTAATATAAATTAAAATAAAAATTTATTTAAATATAAATAAAAAATAAAAATTTATTTGAATACAGTAAAAATATATAAATTTATTTAAAAATTAAAATAATTTAAAAATTTTAATTTTTTAACTTTTTCAATGGTCAATATTTAGTTAGTAAACTTTAGATTTAATTTTTATTGTTAGCAATTATTTTATGAAGAATTTATAAATTTAACGTAAACTCTTGTTAAAATCTTATATATATATATATATTTTTTGTTGGTCTTGAAATAAAATAAACTTTTTCATATAAAATATTTTTAATAAAAAGTGAAGAACAAAGTTGAAGATGATTATATATTCTAATTACTATAAAGGTCGAATGCCATAATTGGACAAATTGGGAATATTCGAAGATTCATTAGAACGCCTACTATCCATGAATTATATAACCTTTGACCCAAAAAAAAAAAAAACATGCCAAAGAGTTCAAACTGTCTCGTAATTCTTGGGTCATGCAGGCGAATGAAGGATTCCTTGATTTTGGGTGTAAACGACCGCCATACAAATCAATAATTGTATATTTGTATATTTTTAACGGTGTTTGAATTTAGTTCGAATTTGATAAAAAATTATTTTAATAGTTTTAATTTGATTTATTTAAATGATAAAATAAATATATTTATGAATATATATAAATAAATATGTTTATAAATAATAAATAAAATATAATATAATAAGTTTAAATAAATAATTCTTAAAAGAATATAAATAGATTTTAAATGAATATAAATTAATTATAAAATAAGATTAAAATAAAAAAATTTATTATTATTGAAATATAAATAAAAATAAAAATAAATAAGCTTTAAATGAATAAATTTTAAATAAATTTATTTATGAATTAAACAGACTTTTATTTATATTTAATTTATTTAATAAATATAAAAATATGATTTAAAATCATTTATTAAATTTAATAAACTAAAAATTCAAACATATTTACAAACGAGTTCTATATAAAATAGAGTTTATGTTTTCTTCAAATAAAAAAAAAAAAGAAAAACTGCGTAAAGACCGTACCTGGTATCCTTAAAGCCATGAAGATTCAGCTTTCTTGGGCCCAGAAACCATTTGGGCAGAGTTTGGATTTCCAAACATAGAGCCCAAGTGTGTAGCACCCTTAAAACGGGGATTTACCACCGCCATTACCACCAGCAATAGCCACTTAGATCAAGTGGGTAAGCCAAAAAAAACCCTAATTTGAAACCCTAACAAAGAAGAGAAAAACCAACGGAAGAATCAAGAGAACCATGGACAGAGACTGGGGCTCCAAACCCGGTTCTGGAGGCGCCGCCTCCGCCCAGACAGAAGCCATGGACCGCCGTGAGCGCCTTCGTCGACTGGCCCTCGAAACCATCGACCTCGCCAAAGATCCCTATTTCATGCGCAACCACCTTGGCAGGTGCAAAATTATATACCAAATTCTCCCCTTTTTCCCTTAAAGAGTTCTGTTCTTTTTTTTTTCCCCTTGAAATTAAATGATTTATATTTTTGGGCAGTTATGAGTGTAAGCTTTGCTTGACGCTACACAACAATGAAGGGAACTACTTGGCACACACTCAAGGGAAGCGGCACCAGACCAATTTGGCTAAGAGAGCGGCGCGTGAGGCGAAGGAGGCTCCGGCTCAGCCTCAACCTCACAAGCGTAAAGTTTCCGTTCGTAAAACAGGCATGTCTCATTCGTCACCCCCTTGTTCTCTTTTCAATTTTCTTTTATTAGTAGTTGTTTAAGGGTTAATTTTTTGGGCTAAGATGAATTGAGATTATGCAGGAAGCAAATGAATTAGTTCTATAATGGCTCAAAATGAGTTTTTAGAAAGAAATCTCACTAGTAATATGGAATGTGAGAAAGATTGAAGGAATTCAATTTTGAATTATGTTTTGAGTCACCTAACAATTACATTTCTATGTTTTGAACCGGTTTATATTTGTACTTGATCAGTGCTTTACTTTTTGCCCGCATGTGCGAGAAGAGCAGTTTGCATATCTGTTCATGGAATCTCCTTATTTGTTTCTTAACTTATGAAAGTTTGCTCATTTGTTATTGTTTGTGCAGTCAAAATTGGTAGGCCAGGGTATCGTGTTACAAAGCAATATGATCCAGAGACGAAGCAAAGGTCTCTTCTCTTCCAGGTGCATTTTATGTACAACAGCAATAGAATTGCATCTGACAATTCTCTCTTTTTTAAATCCTTGTATTTATTTTTGGAAATTGATTGTTTGGTGTTTCATACAGATTGAATATCCTGAAATAGAGGACAATACAAAGCCAAGGCACCGAGTTATGTCGTCCTATGAGCAGGTTTGACTCTATATTTTCATTTTCTTTTTGACTTCTTAGGCTTGTTATGGTTCTAGTAATTCGTGATTGCTTCCCCTGGTTCCTCCTCTTTATACACAATTGCACTCAAAGTCATTCTGATTTTCGTACTTCGCTTATTTGATTTATGTAATTTTGGTCTGTTACAAGCAATAAAGAACTTCACTTTTTCCCAACACTTGAATTTAAAAGCATATTTTAATCATAAGCTCTTCTCTGAAACAAAATCTAATATCTCTTTCTATGTTTACTGTTCATGGATGCAGAGAGTGCAACCTTTTGATAGGAGATATCAGTATCTCCTGTTTGCTGCAGATCCTTATGAGATCATAGCTTTCAAGGTAAGTCAATTGTAGTATGTCACATTCTATTGATTCATTTAAATTATGTTTAGCATTTATGCTTATATATATTTAATTTACCTTTTCAGGTCCCTAGCACGGAGATTGATAAATCCACTCCCAAGTTCTTCTCGCATTGGGATCCTGACTCAAAAATGTTCACGGTTAGTTTATTTAAATGAGCATTACTGCTTCATGTGGTATCTCTTCTCCCATCTCCCTTCTCCCTCCCTCTTCCACCTGTCCCTGTTGACTATGTTGACATTAGCTGAGGACTGTCTATAAGCTGAATTGGTTGGCTAATCTTTCTCTTTGGATTAGTTGCTAATTTTGCATAAAAGCACTAATGGTTTTTCGAAAATGTTGTCAATAGTATCTTACCTTTTTGGCATTTATCAACATGCAGTTGCAGGTATATTTCAAAACCAAGCCACTAGAGGCGAATAAACCTCAACCTCCTCCTGCAGCCAATGGTACTGCAGCACCAGGTGCTCCTCCAAGGCCTTTGCCCCCACCACCTCATGCTCCACCGCCACCACCCCCTCCACCACAAGGGCTGCCAAACCCTCCTAGAGCCCCTCCACCACCTATTGGAAATGGACCTAGGCCTATGCCTCCTGTTGGAACTCCAATAGCGCCACTGCCACCTCCTGGGGGTAGTGGGACAATGGCAAATTTCACTCCTAGGCCTCCAACAATCCACCCTCCACAAGGTTTTCCTGGTCAACAGATGCAGGGACAGGGGATGCACCCGCCCCCTCCACCTCCTAACATGGGACAGTAGTCCACCTGGCTTTCAGTGTCTTGACAGGCTTATCTCTATCAATATGTATGCAAATTGCTATATTTTTGAATCATTTTCGGGTATGTCAGATCAAACATGTAATAGGATTTATTATAACCTTAGCAAACGTACTTTTCAAGTTGTATGTATGAACCAGTTCGTGCTTCCTTGATTTTACATATTAGTAACAATATCTTTTGCTCTAGAAAGCCTATTACTAAGTATTAAACTTGCAGATGCGTTTTCTTCTTACTCTTTTATAGTGGTCTTCAATGTTTGAAACAGCTGTCTAGATCTATGTTTTTTTTAACACTTGTGAAAATTGGAAAATTCTGAGTTCAATTGGCACGGCAAATAATACTAAAGTACAACCTTTTGTCAAAATAGGTAAGGTTATCATCTCGTTTCTGTGCCAAACTTCAGTTTTGGGTGCCTTATACGAGCAAGGCAAGTGGCAAGCGCAAACCCAGAATCGATTAGACAGCAAACAGTTCTTTTTAATTTGATTTGAACATGAACATGAACTGTTTTTTTTTTTTTTTCCAAGTCTTAATTTGAAACAAATTTTAATTGCAACTGTAAATTTTTTTTTTTTTGGTGTTTTCTTTGTGAAATACCTATACAAAATGGTTTGTCCTGCAGCTAACAAAATGAGCTCTCAACCTTGTGAATTAGATCGTATCATTTGGTTGTCATTGGCCTACATGAAGTGTCCAAATTTTCACTTGATGACTGATGCTTTTGTTTTAATTGTATGTACTTTTCTTTATCACTACTATAATATCAACTAAGCACATACGAAAACTATAATCAGAGCATTGTCAATTTGTCATATATGCCACCATGGCATGGGGAGATTTAAGGCATTAAAGCATTAAAAGTTCGTATATAAATTACTTATATATTGATAAGTGAGTTATTTTTATATTGGGTTTGGCTTCAATCAGCCCATCTAAAAAGTTGAAACGGTCAAACCCTAGAAAAGATATGAAGGATAAAAAAGTGAAGAACAAGGTTGAAGATGTAAAGGTACCCTTACTTGGATAAATTGGGACCCATTCGAAGATTCATTAGAACGTTCGAAGATTAATTAGAACGCTGTGCTATCCGTAAAGCCATGAAGATTGAAGATTCAGCTTTCTTGGGCCCAGAACCATTTGGCCCAGTTTGGATTTCCTAACATCGAGCCCAAGCCTATAGCACCCTTAAACCCTAGAAAAAACTTAAACCCTTGAAACGGTCAGACCACAAGAGTTATCTCCACTTCTCATAGACTGGTTTGTCTCGCAAAACTTGCTGCCCTATGAGTTGCAGCGTTTGACCCAAAAGAACACACCAAAGAGTTCAAACCCCCAGTCCACTCAACGGGGTCTCCAAACCCTCGATCCTCTCTCGCTCGCCGCTACGAACGGGGTCTCCAAACCCCCAATCCGCTCTCGCTCGCCGCTACTAACGGGGTCTCGGTTGATTTCCCTTCCTTTAGCTATTCAATGTTTCAGTTCGCTAAGTTTGAAAAGTCCAAAGAGCGCAGACTAGCCACGGAGCTTGGATACGGTTTCCCATTGAAGATTCAGCTTCCACAGAGCTTAGATACGGTTTCCGAAGATTCATATTTTTGGGGGCAGAAACCATTTGGGAACAGTTTGGATTTCCAAACATAGAACCCAAGCCTATAGCACTCTTAAACTGAAGGATAGAGAGGCCTTGCTTACACTTGAAACATTGAAAAAATCTCAACAGCCATAGCAACCCAGCAACAAAGCAGCAGCGGCGGCTGCGGTCATGGTGAAAGCGTATCTAAGGCACGAGCCGGCGGCTGCCTTCGGCGTAATCGTATCCGTTGAATCGAACATCACATACGACAACTCAGGCAAGCACCTACTCGCGCCAGCACTCGAGAAGCTCGGCGTTTGGCATGTGCGCCAAGGTGTCTGTACTAAAACCTTATCTCCTTCTCCTTCCTCTCGCGGCCCTTCTCTCGCCGTCACCTATGTCGCATCTTCATCTTCGTCTCTGGTAAAAATTCAGTCTGCTTTTTTTTTTCCTTTATCATTTAAAAAAAAATTTATTTTGATAGACGCAAAATCTTAAAGTTTCGTTTGGATATAATATTTTTGTGAATAATAATAATAATGCATGATTTTATCTTAGCATTGATAAATTAGGAACTTTTGTAAAATTTAAATTAAAATTTTAAAGTAACAACCAAACCTAGTCTTAAAATTTTCGCTTTGTTTTGTGATGGTGAATTTTTAGTGATTTTCATGAAAATGAGTATGAGCCTTGAAGGAATAAAATGGGTTTAAATGCAGGTAGCAAGTGGTTATGCCGATGGTAGTATAAGGATTTGGGATTGTGATAAAGGAAGTTGTGAGACTACATTGAATGGACATAAAGGGGCTGTGACTGCTTTAAGGTACAATAAGGTTGGATCTCTGCTTGCTTCTGGAAGTAAAGACAATGATGTTATATTGTGGGATGTGGTTGGCGAGACTGGTCTTTTTCGCCTTCGTGGACATCGTGATCAGGTTTGTCATTTGTACACTTTCTATTTAAAGTTAACAAATTATTGTGGTATTTTTAATTTCTACATGTTGTAATATCTTTGCATTTTACTTCTTGTAGATCACAGACCTTGTTTTCCTTGATTCTGGTAAAAAACTTGTTAGCTCTTCCAAGGATAAGTTTTTGAGAGTGTGGGATCTTGAAACTCAGCATTGTATGCAAATAGTTAGTGGCCATCATAGTGAAATTTGGTCTATTGATGTTGACCCGGATGAAAGATACTTGGTCACTGGTTCAGCAGATCTTGAACTTAGATTTTACAATGTAAAGCATGACTTCATGAATGGAGAGTCTATGGTGAATGTAAGCGGGGCTGAAATTGGGAATGATGGAGAGTTGTCTACTCAAAATAAGTGGGAAGTTCTAAAACCCTTTGGTGAAATGCAGCGACAAAGTAAGGATAGGGTTGCAACAATGAGATTTAATAAATCAGGAAATTTGCTTGCTTGTCAGGTAGCAGGAAAAACGGTTGAAGTATTCCGTGTACTGGATGAAGCTGAATCCAAGCGCAAAGCAAAACGTAGACTTAATAGAAAGAAAGAGAAGAAATCTGCAAAAGAGGCAGTTGACGCAACTGAAAATGTGGAAGCAAATCTTAGTACTGAAGAAGCTGGGAGTATCTCAGTTATTACAGTTCCTGATGTTTTTAAGCTCCTTCAAACTGTCCGAGCCAGTAAAAAGATCTCTTCCATTTCTTTCTGTCCGATCACTCCAAAGAACTCGCTAGCTAGTTTAGCATTATCATTGAATAATAACTCATTGGAGTTTTATTCAATTGAAAGTGGTGCAAGTACAAAAACACTTGCAATTGAGCTTCAAGGACACCGTTCTGATGTCAGAAGTGTCACACTTAGTTCAGACAATAGTCTTTTATTGTCAACCAGTCACAATGCTGTTAAGATTTGGAATCCAAGTACTGGTTCTTGCCTTAGAACAATTGATTCTGGTTATGGACTGTGTGGTCTGATTGTACCTCATAATAAGTATGCAATGGTTGGAACTAAAGATGGGAAAATTGAAATTATTGATGTTGGTAGTGGTACTCGCAGTGAGATCGTTGAAGCTCATGGTGGCTCAGTAAGGTCAATTGCTACTATTCCAAATGAAAATGGTTTTGTTACAGGCAGTGCAGATCATGACGTGAAGTTCTGGGAATACCAAATCAAGCAAAAACCTGGTCAAGTGTGTTCCTCATACCTTCACCACCTCGTTAAATTTTTTGAATAGCTAACTTTTGATTTATTTGTTCCAATCCTTAGATAAGCTTTGCATTAATACAATATGTATTGGAACGTATCCTTTTTAGGAATGTAATTGTCATGTTGAGTTGACACATGAGTGATTCTAGATTGCTCTTGTTGATTTTCAGGATTCTAAATGCCTCACTGTATCAAATGTAAGGACTATGAAAATGAATGATGATGTTCTAGTGGTTGCTGTTAGCCCAGATGCTAAATATGTTGCTGTTGCATTGTTGGATTGCACTGTGAAGGTAGGAATGATTGACTCATCCTTCTATTTTGAATTTACTTTTTATTATGTTGTTTGGCTTGGTGAATTTCTTCTACTGTGGTGTTCCTTTAAGTTGTAAATGGAAGCACCATGAAGCTTCCTGCTTAGGGCTGTAAACGAGCCGAGCCGAGCCAAGTAGTGAGAAGCTCGAGCTCGAGCTCGACTCACAACTCGGGGCTCGATACTCGGCTCGAGCTCGATCGAGTTTTATTTTTCAAGCTCGAGTTCGATTCGTGATCGAATTCGAGCTACTCGAGCTCGCTCGATTAAGCTCGATTAATATGTAAAAATAAGCTCGATTCGTATACTCGACAAGAATTCGATTATTCATGCTCGAACTCGAACTCGAACTCGAACTCGGACTCGAAATATTTTATTAATTAAAATAATAAAAATATATTTAAATATAAAAGCTCGATTAGGCTCGCGAGCTACTCGAGTCAGATATAATAATACTCGAATTCGGCTCGATCGATAAGTCGAGCTACTCGAGCTCGAGCTCGACTCGACAATAATCGAACCGAATTCGAGTTTTTTTCGAATCGAACCCGAGTAGCTTGCGAGTACTAATGTATCATTTACACCTCTATTCCTGCTCAACTTGGGAAAAACAAAGTTCATGTATGTAGTTGTTTTTTGTTCATCTCACTTTTGCTCTACATCTTCATCTGTCATTATGTACCTTTTAAATCTCATGATTTATATGTGAGAGCCTAAAGTGGAGAACTTGCAGCCCTATACTACCTGCACTAACCATGTCTTACGAAGATTGACTGATATGTGCTAATTAAATCTGTTGGTTTATAAGATGTTTGATAATTTCATGTTGCTCCTCCTTAAACATGTTGTGATTGAAGCTTCTATTGAAAAAAAAAAAAGTTTAGTAAATGATTAGCATTCTCCATGATTTAACTTCATTATAGCGTGTATGATATTTTGTTATCATGTTATCAATTAGCGATTTTCAAGGCAACTTGTTTTGCATTACTACAAGTCTATTATGATTATAATGATTTGCTTTTCCCTTTTTCTGCAGGTTCTTTTTATGGACTCACTCAAATTTTTCCTTTCCTTGTATGGCCACAAACTTCCTGTCCTATGTATGGATATTTCATCAGATGGTGAATTGATTGTGACTGGATCCGCAGACAAAAACTTGAGGATTTGGGGTTTGGATTTTGGTGACTGCCATAAATCCATCTTTGCTCATTCTGACAGGTGCTGTATGATTGTAATTATTATGAAATATAAAAGGCTTCTTAATCCTAATTGTTTATGTATTTTTGGTCAAATTTTTAATCACCAATTCTGATGAGATATTTTGTCAGTGTTATGGCAGTGCAATTTGTTCGCAATACTCATTACATGTTTAGTGCTGGGAAAGATCGCCTTGTAAGGTACTGGGATGCTGACAAGTTTGAGTTGCTTTTAACTCTTGAGGGACACCATGCAGATGTTTGGTGCCTTGCAATCAGCAACCGTGGTGACTTTGTTGTTACAGGATCTCATGACCGGTCCATTCGCCGTTGGGATCGTACGGAGGAGCCGTTTTTTATTGAGGTATTTTCAAATGTTTCTGCTATTGTAGTGAAGTTCTTGGCTAAGGAATGAGAACGCCATTGTTAAGCTAGTTATCCCCACTGCATTTATAATTCTTGTTTACCTTGATAACTGGATTTTCTTTTCATGTTTACCACTGCTTGAATGTGCAGGAAGAAAAAGAGAAAAGATTAGAGGAGCTGTTTGAGGCTGACATTGACAATGCATTTGAAGACAGACATGTACCTAAGGAAGAGCTCCCGGAGGAGGGAGCTGTTGCATTAGCGGGGAAGAAAACTCAGGAAACCCTGACAGCCACTGATTCAATTATTGATGCGCTAGATGTGGCAGAAATGGAGTTGAAGCGTTTAGCTGAACACAAGGTATTCTTCTCTTGTTCCGTTTGTTCTAAACTGATGTGTTAATGGTTACCCTTTTGACTTATAGAATAGAAATATATATATACCAATAATCTATCTGGCAGAGTATATGTTGATCTTGCTCGGGAATACTAGGTAGATTTTATTAGGAAATTAAATGTTGAAAAGCATAAAATGCTTGGTGAAAACTGAAAAGAGATAGTTTGTCAATCTTTGTGTTGCAATTAATATGTTCACCATGTTACTTCAGGAGGAGAAAACCAGAGGAAAAGTTGCTGAATTCCAACCAAATATGATTATGCTTGGGCTGTCCCCATCAGATTATGTCCTCCGGGCTCTCTCAAATATTAGCATCAACGATCTGGAGCAGACTTTACTGGTAATTAAGCATTGTGTAAGCTTTTTCTCTAGTTCTAGTACAGCATTATGGAAAAGATTATATTGTGTTTCAACCATGTGTCAAGTTCTTGCATGGAGACAGACAACACACCAAAAGTCACGTCCTTGCAATTTTTTGTTGATGAGGATTAAGCTCATGATGAAAACTTCTTGATAAGTACCTTTTGTTATTGACAAGTCAATTTGTTTTTTGTGATCTACCTGATTGTGACCGATTACTTTGGATTGTAGTTAATTTTTTTTCTACTTGTTTAGTTAATTATTTATCTAATATATGGGAGTAAAGACCAGTTATTAACTGAAACTTTAGACGCTTTAAAGCAAATTTTTTTCGTATTCCAGCCACCTAAATGGCCAAGTTATGAATTCAGCTTATCACAATTAGAAAAAGAAAAATCATATATGACAGGTTGAACTATCTTTGTTTGTCTAGTAGTTAAATTGAACTTCTCTCTTATGGATTCTACTGGATGAAGCTATGTGGTGGTGATTAGTAGTAGGAGCATGTCATTCTTTCGCATCTGATTGTTTATCTTTATATTTGATTCAAAGTGGTTTCCTGCCCAGGCATTACCATTCTCAGATGCTCTCAAGCTGTTCTCTTATATGAAGGACTGGACTACAAATCCTGACAAGGTGGCCTATCTGCTTATGGATGTTCTTATGCTTGGATTTGTTAGTAAATGGCTAAAATAGTAAAAGGGCCTTTATACTTTGTCAAATTTCTCAAATAAACCATTATCCTTATATTATGCTCAGCTAAACCCATAAAATATTATTTTTGTATAATTAAGACCTTACTTTGCATAAAAGCCACTAAAATAATACTTTAAGGACCTAATTAAACAAAGTAATACTTTTAAGGCTTGATTGGTACAATAGAGAGATATGGGCTTATCTAGGAAATTTGGAAAAGTACAAGTGCTTTTTAGTATTTTAACCTTAGCAAATAGATGTGTGGCATGCACACCATGCATTCTCTCTCTCTCTCTCAAACGCACACAGACACATATACAATAGGGAATTTATTTTAAGGCTTTGGTATCACAGATTTTGAAGCTAGGAAAGCATATATTTTATGCATTTGAGCACTCAAATTGTAGTACTTACTGGTGTTATTACAATATATTCTGTATGGATAGGTTGAGCTGGTTTGCAGGATTGTTACAGTGTTGTTGCAAACCCATCATAGTCAGTTGATCAGTACCCCATCTGCCAGACCAGTCTTGACCGTTCTCAAGGAGATTCTTTATGCAAGAGTCAAGGTAAATATGTACTTTGGATTTATGCATGTTTTCAACCCACACATTCTCTTGGACAAAAAAATTCAGTTCAGCATGTGGTATCCCTTAATGATCTCTTTTCACCTCTTAGTATTGATTTTAACTGTAACATGATCACTAACATATTTCAAAATTTAAGGATCTATTTCGTTGACATAACCTTTGAATTTCCTAGGAATGCAAAGATACTATTGGCTTCAATCTTGCAGCAATGGATCATCTAAAGGTTTGTAAATGGCTTGTTAAATATTATCAATCAACAAGAAAAAGCTAAAACTTATTCTCTACTTTTGTGCCCTTTGATTTCAGCAATTGATGGCTTCAAGATCTGATGCTCTGTTCCGAGATGCAAAGTCGAAGTTGTCAGAGATTCGATCACAGCAGTCAAAACGTCTAGAAGCAAGAACAGAGACCAAAACAGAAAAACCAAAAAAGAAGAAACAAAAGAAATCGACTGATATGCATGTTTGGTCTTGATTTCCAAAAAGGGCAATCTTCCATTTTGTATTTTTGTAAGGTTTATTATAAGTTTTGATTTCTAATGTATGAATCTCATCATCCAAGTGAAAATTTGAAATTCTCATGACCAGGCTGCCTGGATACGTGGGCTGGAAAGAATAATACACGGAGCTTTTTCTTTTTTTTTTTCTTTCCAATGTCTAGGACAATTATGATTACCCAATGAATTCACAATTAAATTTTTTTTCTAGATTGATGGGTTTTTGTACATACGAGTCTAAGCCGATATTTAGAAAAATGGATATAAGAATAGATTTTCCTGTAGTAAAAGAGAAAATGTTTATATTTAGAAAAAAAATAGATAAAATCCCTTTAAAAAAACACATTGGAGTTAAAAATTTTATGGTACAAAATGTTACATTCATAAAGATTGAAGTAGCCAACATCACAAAATTATTAACCTTGATATTCTGAGGGCCAACTAGTGTCATTCCTTTACTATTGATTGGCACAACCCATTTCCTTTAAAAACACATTTGGCATTACCAACCACAAGGCTCATGGAGTTTGCCTTAAAGGAAAGTGAAAAAAAATTCATTATCTGCCTGGAGATTGATATCATCGGCTTAATAACGGTGTATCAGTTGCTTGTATGCGTCCTTATTCTTTGAATGGTAGTCAATTTCTGCCTGCATGGCATCAGAACATGAAAGATATCAATGATTATATTCATGGATTAAATTTCTCTAAAATAACCATTTAGAAAACATTGTTGGAACTTACCTTTCGAACTCCTTTTATAGCAACAAAAAGTTTTTCACCAATCATCTCCCTCAATACATTGTTGTTCTGAAGAGCTTCTAAAGATTCAGCAAGTGATGAAGGGAGTCTCGGTAGTTTCCCCTCAAGTGTAGCTGGGTTTGCATCTGTTTCATTGATAAAAATACATTACAAGACTAATGTCAAGGTATCAATTTCATTGATAAAACGAATATTTAGAGTGGCAAATATTCCTGAAATAAAAACATTCAGATGAATAAATGTCCTTCAAAATTTTGTTATCACATGTGGTAAATACCAAAAAAATGCCATCTTTGTTACCAATAGGATCAGGCAGATGAAGGTGCCTCCGTAGACCATCAATTCCAGCGGCAACTATAGCAGCCAAGCCCAAGTGTGGATTTGCACATCCATCAAAAGATTTAATCTCAAAGTTGCTCACAAAACCATCCGGGATCCCAGGTGGACATGCAGTTCTTAAAGGCGCTTCTCTGTTTTCTTTTCCCCAGCACTGATATGCTCCACTCCATGCATTAGGTTGAATGCGATCATAACTAAAGACAAATAAAAGTTGAAGCAGGATCTAAGCAGGTACCACTATAAAAAGTAGATTTACCACAAACTGCATTTGTTCATTCTAATCTATTGTTATAATCGGTGGGCATAGAATACATGAATGCACTGCAGTAATCTTAGCATGAACAGCTAACAATTGATTATCCAAAATAAATAAATAAATATTTGGAAATAGAGAATAAACCTATTTGGAAGTGGTGCCGTCAATGCCAGAATTGACGGAAGATGGCTTAAAACCCCTGCCATGAACTCCTCCCCAATTTTAGACATTCCATACTGAGTAGCTGCATCAGATGCTAGAAAAACATTTTGTCCATTCTGCCATAAATTGATATGCACATGGGATCCCGAACCTATGTCATCCAAAGCATACCTGGGCAGAGAAATATAGTTTAAAATGTTAGGTATTCTAAGTTTCGAACATTAAAAGTAGGACATGCATGAAAGTCTCACACCAGTGACTTATATGTTTGACATGAAATTTAGCTCAATCAATAAGCAAAAGAGTCCTCCAATAATAATCTATTCATTATTATATTAACCAATTAGAACCATTTAAACTTCATCCAACGCAGAAATGACAATAATAATAATAATAATAACCATAGTGGCCAGCCTTGCATGGACAGGGTTTCATCATTCTTAAATCAGCAAGTCTTTCAATTCGCATCTGCTTATCCCCCAAAACCAGAAACTATAGACCTAGACCATGAGAACAAGGATGCAAGCATTGGTCAAACTAAGAAAAAATTTGCAACTTACTTCGGGACAAAAGTTGCCAACAACCCATGTTTATTTGCAACAGCCCTAACAGCTTCGTGTGTGAAAATCGAATTGTCAGCAGCATATGTACAAGCAGTGTGCCCCAGAGCCATTTCAAAATGACCTTTTCCAGCTTCTGCATGCAACTGCAAATTTTAAAAGCTAAGTTAACAGAAGCAGATAACAGTCAAACTTGCACTTCCTGAGAAGCAAAATGAAGCACGCACGGGAGGGAGGAAAGGGGAAAAAAATGATGGCTGCCTCTACTAAGAATTAAAAAAAAAAATTAAAAGAATACCACTGAGGAGTTAAATAGGAACTAAACTTCTATTGTGATCAATAGAACTCAAATTTGACCTCTGTATATTTATTCTTATATTGGATTATTTTGTGTCTTGATGGAGATGCTCAACCAAATAAATGGTACAACGAAGACAAATTGATCATCAGGTAAAATATGAATATAAAGGCTAATGACTGAGCCACACACATTATCAATTTGATAGAAAGTGCCTCCAATGAATGTAGATATCAAGCATATATGACTTCTCATCTGTACCTGCTCAACAGCAACATTCAAGGAATTTAGAGTTGCAATAATTTCTTGAAATAAAGTGGACACAGCATCAAATCCAGAAGAGGAGCAGTAAGGTTTTGAGTCAATTGGCACCCACTCTTCTTTCCCCTCTCTGCAAAATTTCAAGATTAGAATTTCATTATAATTGAGCGGAGCCTAAAGTTGCAAAAACAAAAGGAATAAAACTGCATACATCACCCACCTTTCCAGCTTTTTCAAGAGATAAAATTCATTTTCAAATCCTGCATTCATTACCTGCACATATAGCATTCATTAGTTAAGCATGAAATACTCTGCTATAACATGTATGACAGACCACCTAACGTACCAAGTTGAACTCATCTTATAAAACTTTTGAAACCCTTCATAAGGCATCTCTTGGGCTATATTCCCATGCTTCACCAGGTTTAAGGTGCATGTCAGCCAAAACCATCTCTTGTTTTTTCCTATAGAGGAAGAGGGTATTGACATTATTTTCAAGGAATAACGAAAAATTAGCACTTTGTAGCAATGATGATCTCATACGGATGTTGATATGATCACCGTCAAAGATCTGAAAGCACAGCCAGAATATGGAATGATATAAATGCATGTAAAATACGTGAAGGTGTTGAAGGGGCAGATACAAGAAATTCAAATTGTCGAAACCAAATATTTATTCCTCAAAGATACAGTACCAAGGAATTTCCCTCATAGTCAATAGGTCAGGTATCAGTCTGATCTCACCCGTTCCAGTCAGATTAGTCTCATCAGCTGGACCATCAACAGCAGAAGTCATACCCATACATGCAAAAGTCAAACCAACACCATTTTTCTTCACAATATCGTCAAAGCGTTTCTTTGGAACAACCTGAAATGTTAAATAAATTAGAGAGAAACAGCTAAAATGTAGTTTACCCTTTCAGACATGAATGGTCAAGATGCCTTGAACAAATGACATCTATAATAGCTAGTATTCAATAGCTACCATATAGTTATAACACTTAATATAAGGAACAAGATATAGCCTAACGCACAATTATGATGCATGAAAAGGACCTCAAGCTTTCATTCAATGTACAATTAAGCCATTATATTGTTATTTGGTTCAATGAAACCATTTTACTTCTATTTCTATGTAATAAAGTCCAATAGCTAGCAGAGTATCTGCCACATCACACTTGCAATAGGAACTAACAGAATAGAATATTCAAAATAGATTAGCATTTGTGCATGATTAGGAGTATGAAAGCATGAACTGCCCAGCTTATGATCCCTAAAGTGATACCCAATGAATAGAAGGAAAAGGAGATCAATTCAATTTTGAAAATTAAAGATTTTCTCATCAAAGTTGGTAATTCCCTTTAGTAAATTTTTTATTTTCCTCATTTCTCAGATATTGGCAAATGAAATGCCATAAATTTCTATGTCTTCCATAGAGTTGTGATAACAAACTTAATCAAAGAATAACTAATTTATAGTAAGAAAAAGAAACCTTACATGGCATCTATGTTGTCCAGAAGTATCTACCCATACAATACAAACAAGGGAAACATTATGTTCTAGAACATTTGCCCCTAACACATAGCTGGGAGATTCACTAGCCTTTGAATCAAAAAGCTTCCTGCCTAAATTAATCTTATAGAACTGAATTCCATTATGGGCAAAGATGTCCTTGGATGCTTCAATTGCTTCAGCAATTGAGAGATCACGGTCAATGCATGAATCACTTAAAACAGAAAAGACAACCTCACGAGCTCTTTTGGCACCTAAAAAAGGAGTAGATTTAGGCATTATTGTCATATGGAATGTACATAGAGCAAGATATAGAAATCTAAAACTAGAAGAAGCAGTTACTTTCTAATGAATACATTCCTTTTAAACTTCACAAGTTGTTTTATCAAATAAATAGACAGATACATCAAGGCTTCTATACTTTTCCAATCCTTCAACAAATTAGTCTATTTTCTTCCAATAGTGTGAATGAAAGGGCCAGGCCAAACACATGCATATGCACAAGCACACACTCACTCCCCAATGAAATTAATTTTACATTTGTGAATAAATAACCAACACGGACACATATTCACATAGCAAACCCTCTATATGTTGTAAATGAATGAACTTTGGAAAAAATAGTTTCTATAATTAAGTACCTATTTTTTCATCATATTAAAGGGATATTTTGGAGAGTAACTCTATGTTGTGTAGTCAGAATTTTTAATAAATACCAAGAATTTTCAATTTGAAAATAATCACACTTCTTGCAATGCAAAAGTTTTGTCCTAGCAGTATAGACAGACATCAATAATTTGAATAAGATAGAAGTCAGGAATCTTGATCCCACTCAAACCTCACCACAAAAGAGAACAACACCCATCATGAAAAATGATATTCAAAGCA